TAGAGTTGAATTATTAGAAAGTTACAGCATCCTTAGGGCTTTTACCTGTTTTGGCTCTGAGTTCTAATAAATCATTCAGCAGCAAAATGACTCTACGATAAACTTTTCCCCTTTGATGAAATATTTGTTCAGCACATCCTACAATATAGTTTATGTCAAGAGTTATATGTCTTCCTTGTTAAAGACAAAAAAAAGAAGGATCAAAACCATTATCAGACACCACTGCTGATTCAGCAGAGGCACAAAAACTTCACATATCCAGTAAGCTGTATATTTTCTGGCCACCTCGCTTGGTTTTCCTGAAAAACACATTGGGAACTGCATGCCAGTACTTCTTTTAGCCCATGCCATATTTTGTGTAAAAGACCAGTGAGCTCTTAAGGAAAGTATACTGTCCCCCAAGCAGGTCCTGAGGAGCCTCAGGTGCTCTTACCTGCTCTTACCTGGTTTCCAGGGAACACCCTCCCTGTAATTGTGTGGCTCCTGTTACACTATGATTGGATTGATATATCTGCAAGCAGGCACATCTGCTGTTGCATTCACAGTTTTCATAATTGCTCTCACAACACCTTCTTGATAATGTCTGAATTTTGCTTTTGTTTGTAAAAGTTTACCATGGAAATTTCTGGTAAGGTATGAATCCTAGTACCAGGTATTGATAGCTAAAAGGAGGCTCCAGTTCTAGTGGCAATGAGCTGCAGTGAATCAGAGACTCTGAAGGAACTCCTTTAACTCTACTTCAGTTTCGACACTTCTCTGTCTGCAGTGATGTTCTTCCTGCCCATATCGTGTTGCAGCATTTGATTGTGAATTTTAGCCTGAGAAGCATGTAGCAATTTCGATATGCATGAATATTAAAACTTTGAGAGAAACAGTCTCCTCAGTTAAAAATCTTAAGAATGTAAGAATTCTGGACCAGAGAAGGGTCTGTCTGGCCTACTGTGTTGTTTCCAGCAGCAATTAGTAGTCTGGGCTTATGGAAAACATACATGTGCTAAGTACATGGAATAAATAGGCAGAAGTGGTTGATGAACTCAGTCACTGCAAATGGAAAATCCCTGTGGACTATAGGTGCAACGGGTCAGAGAATTCTTAAGCAAAAGCCTGGATTTGTATGGCTGGATACACAATTACGTATTGGGCATAGGGACCAGCACAGCACAAATACCAGAGAAGTCTGGGACTAAGTCCACAGGTTCCAGCTATTTGTAAATAATCTATTTGTAAGGGCACTCATCTTCAGTGATAGTAAGCACAAGAGTGTTCAAATGCAATTAATGACTAACTTACTCTTAATAACTTTAGTAACCTACTTCTTTCAATAATGGATTTGATTTACCTGCCTTGTTTTCATTATTTCAGCATAAACCCCATTTCTTTAGTCTTTGTAGGTATTGGACTTGATGATCCTTATGGGTCCCTTCAACTCAACATATTATGTGATTCTGTGTTTTGAGGACTTGGACTGTAGAAGTTATTTTCTGTTGTTAGTTGAAGTGGCATCACATCACAAAAATTTGCATTTTGCACAAAAGTGTTTTAGTAAACTTGCAGTCAGGCTGTAGAGCTTATGGGGACAGGAAATAACTGTAGTTATTACACTTAGGATGTCATTGGCAAATATGAAGTATTCCAGAAAAGGTTAATAGCCAACACTTTCCTAAAATGGGATCACTGGTGTCATGCGGTTCCAGTCAGTCATGTTGTTGGGATGGGGAGGTTAATCAATCAGAAGGATAATTTCTCCTTTCTTCCCACAAATGAAACATCTTGCATTGCTCTGCAGTGAACTGGGGCTCTTCCATTTTAGCAGACACCAAGTGTCAGTTCTACATTTGGTGTTCAGTACGTCATGATGTGTAAGAATACAGTTTCAACAATCATAAGTTAGAACAGTAATCCTGTTGTATTGCAACCTGCCATGGTAAAGGGTAGCTTATGCAGTTTGCCTTCAAGAGTACAAACCCAGGTTAAGCTAAACCAAGTGCACTGATTTCCAGTGTCTGACATTAATGGCTGAGATTATCATTAGCACCTTTTTTGGTGCACTGCATTATTGAGGAACCACCAGCTCTGGTGATTCTGGGCCAAAACTTGATGTAGATTTAAGCTTAACTGTCTCAGTGTGTAGATATCAAATACAAAGGAAATTCCACACTCTTTACTAGACCAGCACTGTCGTTAGTTCTCTGACTCAAACTGGGTCACTTGGCTGCCTCAAAGACCACAGCTCCTGCTATTCACCTCCTTCTGCTTTTACTGACAGTGTTAAAATATAGTTCTTGCTAAAGAAGATAGCAAGAACTATATTTGTTGTTTGGGAACAATATCCCTGATATTCAATAATGTCCCCACTCAGACCCATACATAAACATATCTTTGAGTTCCACATTTCACTGAGCCCTTGAAGGCCCTGGAGTACAAGCATTGTGCATTTCAGGATGCAAGTTTGATATGATGTATCTTGTTGTGCATTCTCATGTTTCAGTAGCAATATATCTGGCAACTGTTGCTCTTCCATAGCCAGTCTAAGAGAGAGGGCTTTCTTATTAACTCTCTGGAGAATAAATTTAATAAGACCCAGTCATGAAAACACGGACATAACTAAATGAAGTCCTTAATGTCTAAACATCTGCAGGATTGTGGCCTACTGTAATAATGGAGAAGTCTGAAAACCGTATCTATAAAATCTCTATGTGGCACTGTATCAACACATACTCTTTATACAGCCTTAAGGCTGTTAACTTTGAAGAGTTTCTTTATCTGTACCATTTCTATCCCATATTGTGTCTGGACTTTTTTTTTTGCTTGTAGGTTCCCATTGGCCAGATGTCTGACTGAGGCTAAAGATGATTTTCATGTACATTTTTGTACACTACCTATATTCTGTTTCAAGGAAAAATATACACACGCATTTTTCTTCCTTATTAATAAACTGAATGACAATTTAAAATAAATTCTTTCAGCTGTACAGAATGGTACACAGATGTACTGGCACATTTCAGAGTGAGTTAAATAGAGAGCAAAGCATTACATCACCTACAGAGCTGAGGAAGAGGAGGTGGTCTCTGACCACTAAAGCAAAATAAAGCAGTGGCTTTGAGAAAGATAAACCAGACTGTTACTTCTTGCAGATTGTGTGGTGAACTCTGATGTCTTACTGCCTTTCATGCCAAGGCCAGGGATCATCTCACAGTGGGTAACCCAATCCTAATTTTTAGGATGCTTAAGTCTTTATAGGACTTTGCTCTCAGACTTGGCAGTGAGGCGAATATTCACTTGCATTTAGATCTAATTTAGATGCATGTGTAGGTAATTGTTATTCCTAAGCTGCTGCTATGGAGAGAGAAAGGAGAGGCTCCTAAGGGGTTGGTTCAGGGTATATATGTTAGAGATGTACTGCAGATTTCTCTCTGAAGGACCCTGTCTGTATCTAGACACTCTGTACCATCCTATAACCTGAAATGAGATAGTAAAGTGAGCTGTATGCTCTCCCTGTCTCTACCTTTCTGTTCTGAAAACAAAGGCAGTATATTTCCTCCTGTGAGGTTGAGGGGGTAACATTCAAAAGGAGTTGTGAAGCTCATGGATATTATGTTGGTCAAAGACTGAGAAATTCAAAAATGGGAGGTGTCCTTTGTTGGAGAAAAGCAGTATTCCAAGATTGACTTGGAATGGACTGTCACATATATACAGATTTTGAGTATGTTGTGATGAAAAATAACCTTTCTTCATGAAGCAGAAGCAGAATTAGCTGGCAAAAGGTTGAAGCAGTAGGAAGTGAATAGATTTAGCTTGTGATGAGAGAGAGAGCAATCACAGCATCACTTCTTTGGAATGACCCAGAGTAATTTATGTGAAGTGTGCAAGGGATGAGGCCCAGGTAATTGCACTGTGATTTCAGACAGCACCCAAAGGGAAAGTTCCAGAGGTGGGACAAGGATGGAACCCACAACTTTGGAGTTATCAGCAGTATGCCCTTGAACCCATTTCAGGGTCAGTCTCACTTGTGAGAGGGTTAACATTCACTGAATACTTGTTCCATTACAGGTGGCCTTCCTGCACAGTTTAAGTGGATGTAATTGCTGAGAGGGCTAATGTTTACTGAATATTTGTTCCACTAAATTTGGTGTTTCTGCATAGCTTATGTGGATATAGTTGTTGACAGGGTCATCATTTTTATTATATTTGTGCTGTTAAAGTTGTTTATTGTGGTCTTTGAATGCTATCTCACCTTAATCCACACTGAGGGGATCTGTGAATCTCAGCTCCTCTCCCCTTCTCATAGTGGGGACATGACAGTGTTTTTTTTATGTTTCACATAGTTCTATCACCATCACAATGCAAGAAACCAGGAACTATTATTGCACCATACTGTATGTATTTTTGTATGAGATAGTGGTTTCTGTATTTGACTATAATTACAAAGCATATGTAAAAATATTACTGACACAAATGCATTATCAAAAATGTTAGTGTCCCTGGATACTGAGACTGAATTGCTGAATACTACATTTTAGGAGTGATTAATACTTGATGTTCATGATTGGTCAAATAATCTGACCACAATTAATCTTTCTACTAGTGATTGGTATAGTAATTTTAAAGGTCTGAAAACAAGGATGGTATTACGGGGTAAAGGTTGAAATAATTTAACTGGTAACTTTCCTTTAAGCTCACTTGGCTGTGAAATTAGAGGAGACTTTTTTTACTCAAAGCTTTCAATGTTTGCAGCTATTGACTGGTCTCAGGAATCTTGTCCCAGTGCTTCCCTGAGGGTAAAGTCATCCCTCTGCAAAGTGCCATTCATGCCCTACTTACCCTCAATTAAGGCTTCCAAAGTAAGTTTGCAGTGGGACACTGGCCTTCTTTTGAAACACTTTCCTCAGAATGTGTTTCAGAAAAGACTTTGGAAGGCTATATTTAATACCTGTATTTCTGTTCCTCACTTTTTCCATCATAAGGATAATACTTTTTTTTCTTTCTTTCTCCTTCTTTAGAAACAGAAAGAATGACTTACTAGGGAACCGAGTTAAAAACGAAAGAAGTGAAGATTGGTCATCTCTGCAGAGGAAATTACAAGGTATGCATAGTAATCACACTGGAGATTAATTTCTTGCTGGTGCTCAGGTCTTCATGGTACATTACTTGTGGCAATAAAGTTTAAAAATAGTCCTCAGAAATCTTGAAGATGTTTGGGAAAGAACTTTTTTCTTCTGTGTGATTGCTGCAGTAAGCAAAGCAAATATTTATATGGTTATAAATATCTTGGAGATGCACCTTTTAACTCATTACTATGCTGAATTGTAGCTGTGTTTCTGTAGGTAAATGGCAATCACATTCAATTAATTGTTTTTTCGGCTGAGCCCAGTAAAAACAACCCTTCTCTCAACACTAAACTTAAATCCCTTCAGATGCTATCAGTGGTCATTCTTGAGACTTAAGGTGCTTGTTTCATGGACTCATTTAAATCACTGTATGCTTGGTTCAGCAGTGTTACCATTTTCTCTTCCTCATTTATTATCATCACAAGGAGATGCACTTAATACCTGTTTTGCACTGCATTTGAAGAATCTGCCCTTATACATTTGTCACCCTGAAAATTTGTATCTTAAGGGATGGAAAATCAATGCTATTAAAAACTCTCACCTCTCAAATATTTTTAGTAAAGTGAATGCTTAATATTTACCCAGTGACTGTTCAGAGACCAGCGCAAGGCTATATGCCACTTAAGTCCTGAGGTTAAATTTTACTTCAGTGATGCATAAAGTTTGTATTGACCATCTGCCTAGCATTGAGTTGAACCCATTAATGAATAAGCCTCACAGTATCACTGTGAGATAGGGAATTATGATCTCCATTTAACAAGTGATAAAACTGAGCACCAAGGGGCTTATGTAACCAAGTCCTACAGGAAGCATATAATAGAACCAGTAAGGAAGCCCAGCTCACCTGACTGCTATCCTTCCTATTTGGACACCCCTGCACCTGGTATCCTTTTCACCATGTTCTGTTATCAACAGCTATACACTCTTTATGCACAGCTTCAACCATCACATTATCTTGCAAAGAAACTTAAAACACAGCTGATGTGACCTGTGAATCCTTCTTGTCCATAAAGAACAACATGAGACACAAGGCACAAAGGCAGTGCCAGATGGCCTTCGTAACTGGAGCAAGTCAGCACAACGTGACAACAGGGAGAGCTGTTGTTGCAACCTCCCTTTCTATTTTTTTGCATAATGTTGAGAGGAAGACTATGCAGATCTTTCTGTAGTACAGAGAGGAGCTGCTGGTAGAGGGCAATCAGTGCTTTGCCTTTTGTAATCTTTCTCAACATCTCTTTGATTTCTTTAGTAAATGTCAGGTCACATGCTTGCATTCTAAAGCTGAAGTATAAATCATCTTCTCGAGTGACAGAAACTGTCATTTTTCCTTGCAAAGTATTTTTCTAACTATGTCTTATGTAACTGTTACAGTTGTTGACATTCTTCTTAAAAGCCCTGTTGGTTTGACACTCAGGATTCAGTATAAAGCTATAGACTTGGATAGAGAATTCTGCCTTTGCTTGTATCTCTTTCCTTTCCCATGAGCTGAAGAAAGAAATATTACGCAACTCTGAGTCATGCTGTAGAAAGGTGTTGTATTTTTAATATCATTAGAATTTTAAAAGATGGAGAAAGATAAACATTAGCATAGGTGAAACCAAGACTTAATATGCTTCAATTATAGAAAGTGGCTATTAAATTTTGATGGGATGCTATGACTGATACTTCAAATATAATGTTGATGTGGCAAAGTGGGGAGTGTCAATGATGAGTTGAATACTAGAGAAAGGCTGCTGATTTTTATGGGGGAAAAAATATATATATATATATATATATATATATATATATATATAAATACATGATCCTCAACCAAAGACATTCCTGTGGAGATACCCATAGGAAAAATTCAGAGTATAGACTTCTTATGTCTGTCTTGGCTTGTTTCTACAAGAATGCAGCCCTATATAACTGTGTCTTGACATAGATATGGGCTGGAAGTACTTCCCACATGAGATGTTTTACTGTTCCCAGTTTAAGGATGATACTTATCCCTGCCCAGCTTAAGGGTGATACTCTAACATTATTAATCTGTTTTCTTCTGCTCTTTCATGCCTCCAGAAAAAAACTATTGATGCATCTTCCTGACAGGTCTTTCTCAGAAGAAACAGCTGCATAATGTGGAATCAGTTGTGTGAAATTCTGTTGGCAAGGCCTTTGACTTTCAACTCTGCTGGATCCAGCTGAGTGATCAAAGAGAGACCTTTTGCAGGTATTTCTTGTCTTCACCTGTACTAATCTCACCTTAATGAGATGCAAATTATTCCAGAATAATAATTTCAAGAAACACTTGTGTTCCTTCTGAGGAAATGCTATGAGGGTGATCTGGAATGCCAGGAGTTTGGTGTTGAGTGGGCCCATTAATCCTACTGTATCCAAGTCCAGTGTTTTAGTTAAATTTTAAGCAAGCTAGAGACCTTTATGGTAAATACAGGGTATTTTAAGACACATTTAAGACTACACTAGATACACTACACTGAAGATACACTAGATGTCTGTTTTGACATAGCTTTTATCTCTCAAAACCAGCATCTCAATTATTTGGTTAAGTATCCTGTAGATGTCAAAGAACATTGCTGAATCTAGAAATGAAGGTCTGGTCTTGATCTAAGCATCTCTGCCTTATAATGAGGTACTGTCTAATAGCCTTCATAGCAAACAGTTAATACAGACACGTGCTAAAAGGGGCACTTGTCCCTGTTAAGAGGAGTTAAAAGTGCCCTCCTCATTCCCATAACTAAAGGCCAGATTCCTCACTGAATTTCAAGCAACCTGCCCTGGCATCTGTGGCATCTTGTGATCATGACTTTGGGGGTTACAGAATCACAGTTCCCTTCTTGTCAAAGCCAGAAGAAGGAGGTGGTCCCTGTGTCAGTCCACGTACCCTAAATGATCTTAGCACTGAAGAGTCCCAAAGCTGGTTCATGGACATTACAAATTTGTTCTCCTCAGCACACAGAGGAAGAACACAATATTTTACAGGTGTGGAAGTGAAACACAGCTGTGAATATTTTAAGATGTATAACCTCAACAGATAGGGGTAGATCTTTAAAAGCCTTCAGTGTGGGTCAGCTTGTAACATTTTCAGTGAGACTGACAGCTGAGTAACAGTTTCCCCTTGAAAAGTCTGATTCTAGCATCTAAAGAAGCCAGAAGAACTGATCTTATTTTTCTGAGAACTCAACCCAAGTATTTGCTCAAGATTATGAAATAAATATGTGGTCCAGTTGGTAAATTAATCCAGCTCACTCAAATTTTTGCATACCCAAAGGATCTTCCTCTCTCCCACCTTGCTCACTTTCCTGTTCCAAAGATTTTTTTGCTGAGTACTTGGAAAGCAATGCAGCTCTTCTGTGCTAATTAAATCTTTCTTTCTCTTACTGCCAGCTGTAACAGAGGGAAAATCCCAATAGGACTGTCAGAGAGTCCTGTTGTGCTCATTAGACCATACCAGGTCTGGAACCCTAAAGTCTCCAAAGCCTTACTGGATAATCTCTTTTTAAGACCTCTGTTGGTACCAGTTATCTCAAATAGCAAACAACTGTCAAGTCTCAGGAATCTGCAACAGTAGGTCTCCCCAGTCATTAGATAAAACTACTTCAAGAGAAGGCTCTGGGGAGACCTTAGAGCCCCTTCTAGTGCCAAAGGGTCTCCAAGAGAGCTGGAGAGGGTCTTTGGATAAGGGCCTGGAGTGACAGGACAATGAGGAATGGCTTCCCACTTCCAGAGAGTAGGTTTGGATTGAACATTTGGAAGAAATTCTTCCCAGTGAGGATGGTGAGGCCCTGGCACAGGCTGCCCAGAGAAGCTGTGGCTGCCTCATCTCTGGAAGTGTCCAAGGCCAAATTGGACAGAGCTTGAAGTGACTTGGGCTAATGGAAGGTGTCCCTGCCCATGGCAGCAGCTGGAACTGGATGATCTTTGAGGTCCCTTCCAACCTTAATCATTCTGTGATTCCATGATTCAATACCCCAGGAGATCTGCAGAGAAAAGGAGGATGACTGAAATTTATGGCTGGAGCAAGAAGTCAGAGGGACCATTTCCCATTGTTTATTTTAAGAGCTTTTTAAAGGAAAAATATTTTTCACTGACAAGTTTTTTTAATGACTGAATACACTGAGAGCTCGGTATTTGCAAGGCCTAGAAGAACACGTTTTGATTTTCTGCTGGAAGACTGCAATCTTTGGCTGTCTCAATATTAAGAACTTTGGAGCCTGGGCTTCCTGTTGATGTTTCTAAATTGAACTTTAATCAATCTTGAAAAAGGACTTGAATAACCTAAATTATGACCCCCAGCTAGATCTTTGATAGCAGAGTGAGCCTAGCAGTACTTGTTTTCTCATGCTCAGCATTTCTTCTGATATTTTTTGCCACTTGTTAGGAATGTGTATTTTAAGAAAACCTCAGTTTAGGAAGTGCCTTTTCCCACCAATTTTTCTGTGTTTAAGTGGAAGATTTTTACATCATTCACATATATTTTTCCTCATTTTGAAGTAAATGATTTTTTTTTAGGAACTCCTGGATTCCAAAATCTAAAAATGGAAATTTCATTCCCTCTCCAAGTATGACACAGCATTTGTCAGATGTACCAGATGGGGAAGATGAGCCAAGAAAGCAGCATGGATAGTCAAATGATTTTATTTTTTATGTTGATGTTTTTCTGTGAGGAGGCAAATGAGCTTTTTGACTGAATATAGTGTTTTAAGTCCTGGCTTGTCTGTTCAGAAGAACTTAGAGTTGGTTTTAATTAAACAGACTGGAAAGATTAGAGAATTCAGAGCCTTTCTAGGAGAACAACAAATATCTGAAAGAGGCTGCCTTCATTTTTGGCTAAGAAATCTGATAGGGAGCGCTAAAAAACACCTCATAGCTGAAAACAGGATTTTCTTTTAGTGCTCTTTGTGCATTGTGGTTTTATTTGCTGCAGAAAAGGTTCTGTGCAGTGCTGATTCTCCAAAGCAGATGGCAAACAATGATTAACCAGTTCCTTCCAACTGCTCACTCTTCAGCAGACACCAAGTTGAACCAGTTATTCATATTGAATTAAGCTTAAAAAAATCATGTAGTTATGAGCATTAATGTTGTCATCTAAATGGAAACTTTCCCAGAATAGTGACTTGGGGCTGGATGGATATCTTCAAGCATATTTCTAGTGGCAGAGGGTATGAAAAAGTAAGTGATAGTAGAATATGATTATAGTTCTTAATGTAATTTAAAATTATTCTGTTGTAAGTGAAATAGTGATGCACAAGGGCAGGACCTCTGATCCTTGTGCATTTGCAGGCCTGTCCTACTCAGCAGTAAGTGTCTTGTGTGGCTGCTGCGTCTTACTATCTTGTCTAAAGCTTCTTTTAAGATTTGAGTGAAAGCACTGCTCTAAGAGTAGTATCAAGGATTTTAGATTTATGGCATTAAGAGCTAATAGGAAGCACATTCACATTCCAAAGCTGTTCTACTCGTGGCACTTCAAGGCCTAGTAAGGCCTAGGATAGATGAAATTCAAAAAAAAAGAAAAATGATAAAACCTTTTAATATTGATAATTTGAGAAATTATCAAATACTGTGTAAATACTGTCATCAGCAAGATCATAATGTAACAGGCTGGGGGCAGCTGTGTAGGAAGCAGCTCTACAGAAAAGGATCTGGGGGTCCTGATGCATAGGTTAACAAGCCATGTGCCAACTGCAGCTGTAACTGCATGAGCAAAACACAGCTCTGAGCAGTGATCCTCCCTCTTCACAGCACTGGAGAGACTGCCTTAGAATCACAGAATGGTTTGGTTGGGAGGCACATTAAAACTCATCTCATTCCAACCCCCTGCCATGGGCAGGGATGCCTTCCACTATCCCAGGTTGCTCCCAGCCCCATCCAGTCTGGGCTTGGGCACTTCCAGGGGTGCAGCAGCCAGATTATCTGGGCAACCTGTGCCAGGGTGTCACCACCCTCACAGGGAACAGTTTCTTCCCAGTATCCCATCTAACCCTGTCCTCTGTCAATTTGAAGCCATTCCCCCCAGTCCTATCACTTCAGGCTGTTATAAGTTGTCTTTCCGTCTTTCCTGTGGGCTCCCTTCAAGTACTGGGACAATTAGGTCACCCCAAATCTTCTCTTCTCCAGGCTGAACAATCCAAATTTTCTCTGCCTTTCTCCATAGCAGAGCTGCTCCATCCCTCTGATCTGTGATGTGTCCAGTTAGGGAGCAAGAGAGACACCCAGCAGTGTGAGACCTCCCATACTCTGCCCCAGGCAGCACCACCAGGCTCCTCAGAGCTGGGCCACATGGTGAGCACAGAGAAGCTGGGAGAGCTGGCTCTGTCCAGGCAGGGAAGGGCACCACAGAGGGGAGACCTGCAGTGCTGCCAGCAGCTGCCTGATCACACGGTGGAGCTGATCACAGCTGTAGCCCAGCTCTTCTCGGAGCTGCACAGCAATAGAACAAGGGCTGACAGCCACAAGTTGGAACAAAGGAAATTCCAGTCAGATACAAGGAAAATCTTTTAACCAAAGAATGGTCAAAGGCTGGAACAGGTGCCCAGAGAGGTTGTGGGTTCTCCATTCTTAGAGGTATCCAAGATGCAATTAGGTGTGTGCCTCAGCAACCTGATTAATTAGACCTGCTTTGAACAGGAAATTGGTCTGGATGCTGTTAGGGTCCCCTTCCAACATGGATTATTCTGTCATTCTTTGATTCTTTCACAACAAGGAATAAAAAAATATATTGCACTTGGATCACTGAAAGACCAAAAAGGAACAACTTAAGTTCCTTAAGTGTGATTAATAATACTGTACATCTGCTCATTCACCTTCTGGCATCACAGAGTCAGGGGTTTATGTAATGAATCCTATGTAACCTCAGCATTTTTCTGTATGGCTCTGCCTAAAGGGAAATCACAGTTTTACTACATGATAACAAAATTCTTACTGAATTCAGGAGACTGAATTCTGCCAGCTTAAATGCCATCACTAGAGAGTTCTTTAAAGTCAGATAATGGTTTTAATGTGGGGAGAACTTCAGAGATCTGAGTTTTTCTGAAAGTGTATTTCACAACATCAGACTACTTTAGCATACACACATTAAGTTATGCTAGTTTTGGAAATAAATGAACAAACAAAAAGGTATTTCTTTCAGCTTTGTACCTGTGTTCCTGGAAGCAAAAAGTATTTAACTGAGTTGCTGAAAAAAAAGAGGGAAAAGTGTATGAAAGAAAAGCT